TTATTCTGGGGTGAAATGTTACAAAAGAGCTGGCTTTTGGATGTGTAGAACGTAAAAGAAATGAACAGGGTCATTATCTAAATCCCTTTAATTTACCTCAGACACAATTGAAATCCAGGCATGGGATCAGCCTCCGGTGATGGATTTAAGCTTCACTGATGTCCCAAATTCTACTTCTTTTGCAGGAAGTGACTACAAAACATTAATTAGTTTTTTGTTTGTTTGTTTGTTGTTTTTTTTAGAAGAGTCTCGCTTGTTGCCAGGCTAGGAGTGAGTGCCGTGGTCCAGCCTGGCTCAAGCACCTAAACTCCTGGCTCGAGTGATCTCTGCCTGGCGTCCGGAGTGCTGGGACTACAGGATGCGCGACCCAGGCCGGCTATTTTTTTTATATATAGGATCAGTTGGGCCAATTAATTTCTTTTATTCATAGTAGAGACGGGTCTGCGGGCTGGGCCAGCGGTTGAAACCGGATCCCTGGTTTTGAACTCCTGACCTTGAGCAATCCGCCCGCCTCGGCCTCCCAAGAGCTAGGATTACAGGCGTGAGCCACCGCACCCGGCCTAATTAGGTTTTTAATTGTCATGCTATTCTTTTTTCCCCATAAATTATTTCATGTGTTCAAGTCTTAACTCCTAACTGGATCAGAATCTCCTCCTGTGGCAGGGATTAAAATCTATTTACACTGTAATGCTTTTACCTTGATACCTGGCAAGATGCTACACCCAAGGGAGGTCCTTATCACTCACTGATTGATCAGCACTTAGTAAGCAGCATAACCAAGGCAAGAAAGGAAAGGATTCGCACTCAAGAAAAGATGGCAGAAACCATTAAATCCCAATCCCTCTGAAAATCATCTTAATATAGTCATGTCATACAAGAAAATTGGAGACTCGGCCTTGCCCTGAATTATGTTGAAAGAATGAGTCAATAGAGGCTATTCAGCCTTTGCTATTCCTCAAGCATCTCTCAGTATCCTCTTTTATCTATCGTTGTGGTCAATATGTTTTGAAAATTGCCTAATCTCTACCTTCCATCAATACTCTGTCATGAATGAAAAAGAAAAATTTTTTAAAAGGCAGTTTCAATAAATAACCAATGGATTGTAAAGTAATCCTCGTGGTATATTAAGAAGCAAAGAACTTCAGATGCCACCTGGCAATGAGATCTAGAGTCTAGCTGGGGCCCTGGGATTTGGCCTCTCACAGTGGTATCCAGGAAAGTCCCAAGTAGAGGATGCTACTCTCTCTCGTCCCAGAAATTGATTGTAAAAGATCTGAGTGGTAAAATGATGTCAGCCAGAAGAAAGGGTTCTATTAAATAGAACCATAATTAACTTGCTATTTTTAAAGGTCAAAAACAGTCTAATATCATGATTTCAAATGGCTCAAACTGGGCCAGGCACAGTGGCTCACGCCTGTAATCCTAGCACTCTGGGAGGCCAAGGCAGGCGGATTATTTGAGCTCAGGAGTTCGAGACCAGCCTGAACAAGAGTGAGACTCCGTCTCTGCTAAAAAAAATAAAAGGAAATTAGATGGACAACTAAAAATATATAGAAAAAATTAGCCAGGCATGGTGGCGTATACCTGTAGTCCCAGCTACTCAGGAGGCTGAGGCAGGAAAATCACTTGAGCCCAGGAGTTGCTGTGAGCTGGGGTGACGCCACAGCTCTCTAGCCTGGGCAACAGAGTGAGACTCTGTCTCAAAAAAAAAAAAAAAAAAGGCTCAAACTAATAACTGCAGTTTTGCCATGAACTTGCTGTTCAACCCTAGGCAAGCCACTTAACCTCTCTGGAACTTGGTTTCCTCACCTATACAATGTGACTGGATGGTCTATATGATATCTAAAATGGATTCCAGTTACATCCTGTGATATCCCAAAACCCTCAGCTTTATAACTGTTACATATCTAACAGTAATTTACTTTTTGGATCAATTTTTGTTATTAGCCAATAATACCATGGGAGTAATAAGTTCTCTGAAGACAATCTGATTATGTTTAATAAGGTGTCTGGCTTTAGTAGAGTGGGAATACTTTGCCTGCTTCTAAAGAGGTTTTGCTGACTGGAAAAGAACAATGGCCCCTGTGAGCAGATGTCTGTCTCACGCCTTCTTGTTCCCATCCCCAAGTGGCACAGGCAAACAAGGCTCAAAGGAAATGTGAAAAGCAGGCCTTGGGCCCTTCCAGTTCTCAGACTCTGAAGCATGTAGTTCCAACCTCCATCTTAACTGGCATCAGAGAAGCAATTTAGGATGAAAAATAAAGTGAAAATTCAGGAAACTTTCAAGTTACTATAAAGTAAAGTTTGAGGAAATTGCAATACTTAAACTCATATGCAATTCTGTGTATGCTAAGGTTACTTTTTGCCTTACCTCCTGAACTAAACTGAAAACCATGAAATATGGTAGATAATTAAAGAGTGGCTATTTGTTTTTACTTGCAATTATATCTGAATGTCTATTAAAAGGTTATAAATCCCAAAATAGAGGCTGACAAAAAAGAAGTTACTCTGAAATAAGTGAAAAAAGAAATGAGCTCAAGGCCGGGCGCGGTGGCTCACGCCTGTAATCCTAGCTCTCTGGGAGGCCTAGCCGGGCATGGTGGCGCATGCCTGTAGTCCCAGCTACTTGGGAGGCTGAGGCAGGAGGATTGCTTGAGCCCAGGAGTTCGAGGTTGCTGTGAGCTAGGCTGATGCCACGGCACTCACTCTAGCCTGGGCAACAAAGCGAGACTCTGTCTCAAAGAAAAAAAAAAATTTATAACTAAACAGAAGCCAAAATTGAAGGTTCTATTGTACTGAGGTAAGAGCCTAGTGGTCTTCTGCTCCTCATAAGTCCTGGCCACAGACCAACAACCCAGAGGAGGACAGAATGCTCTGGAAGTACTAAAGAGAAAGCAGCTATTGGATGTTGGAGGAAGCACAGGAAGAATTCAGAGAGATATGATGGAGCTCGTTCTAGGGAATACATAGGCATTTGTGAGGGAGAGCAGATGGAGAGGCCCTTTAGATAGAAAGGCCCAGAAGTGGGGTGTTGCCATGCAGAATGAGAGAGGGCAGTGGTGGGCACGGATGCCTCAGATGTCAAACACTTTAGTCTTTACCAAACTGGCATGAAGAATCAGAGGGAAAGAGCAGTAGGATTTGGTTTTCACAAAAATGACTTGGTAGCCAGGTACAGCAGAGGTTGCTGGACACTGCTCCCCAGACTCCGAGGGTTCTTGGTGCTATATCAGGGCTTACCATGTGAGGGCAGAAAGAAATACTATTACATTTTGCTTTTATATATTAGGATTCCAAGACTATAACTTGAAGAAAGGGCCCTGTTGCTTAAGAACAAAATTAAAAAAGAAAGAAGAAAATCACTGGTCTAAAGAAGTAATTCTCAATGAGGGGCAGGTAGGTGGATTTTGCCATACAGGAGACATGTGGCAACGTCTGCAAACATTTGTGGTGGTCACGACTGGGGAGGTGCGCGCTATTGGCATCAAGCAGGTAGAGGCCAGGGATGCTGGTCCACATGCTACAAAGCCCAGGATAGCCCCCACAACAAAGAATGATCTGGCCTAAAACATCATAGTGTCAAGGTTGAGAAACCCTAGTTTAAAGAATGAATTGAAGAAAGGAGAGACTAGAAATAGATACACCAATAAGATTAGTGCCATAGTTCAAAAAGATTAGGACGGAGATAAAGCAGTGGCACTGGCAGAGGGAAGAGAGAGGCCTTCCCTGAGGGGAATCAGCAGGAACACTGAAACCTTGTCCCATGCAAGGAGGCACAGGGACTTTCCCACAAATGAAGAAGGCCAGGCATAATGTGGGTCTACTATGGTCTATGGGAATTGGAAATAGTAGGACTTGGGAACAGTAGCAGAAATAAGCCCTTCAAAATTTGTTTTGACTTTTTCACCATAGACCGTTCCCATATTGCTGCTACTGTTTTGCATGTAGAAAAGTTTTAAGCAAATGTTAGAACTTTGGTTCCCACATTTTCTTGACAAAAGGTTGTGCCATAAATAAGAGCTTGACAGATTTAAAGAGAAAATGGCAAGGAAGCTATTTGAAACTCTTGTCACCTACTATTGAACAAGATCGCACCCACCTGTGGTTTATCCAGTGAGGAATATTATAGTCGTCGCCCAGACGAGAATCCCGAGGAGCACTCCGATTATGCAGCTGCAGGAAAACAGTGAGCGCACGGAGAAGTGAAAAAACAAGTAGGATGTGGAACTGTTCCAGCTTTTCTACTTTTGACTATTCGCAACCTGGCCTTTAGCAAGCAAATCCAAAATCTAATTACCTTGAACAATGGGACAGCATGTAACGGTTGCTCTCCCATGCATACCAAGTCCACACCGATTCCTACGAAAGAAAAGACAAAAAGAGGGAGGAGGGGAGTGGCAAACATAAGGGTCCCAATTTATAAATGATGCTATTTAACTGGGTATGAGGCAAAGCCAACTTACCATCCTATGCTTTATAACCTCATCAGTGCTATCTATGCAGCAAAGAAATAAATAGATGCATTCTGTCTGGCTCCCCTGAGTCTCCTAGCACCTGCCACTATTTAGTGCTTGACAATTAGCCTTTGACTGCCCTGCAGATCATAAGTTGCAAAACAAGACAACCAGGCCTCCGTCACTAAAGTTTTGAGGCCAGAAAGGAATAAGAACTTTGCATTTCAGTAAAAACAAAAACAATCCATGTCACTTAACACATCTTCTTTTTTGGTAATCAGGATTTGCTTCCCCAGCTCCATCTTGGTGAAACAGAAATCAAATCAGAATGCATGGGGTCAAGCTGGAGACACAAAGCACGTTAGGGAGGGAGAAATGGACTAGATGACCTGATGGTGCTTCCCAAGATGGGTTGATGGCACACTGGTGCCTTGAAACAATCCCCCCAGAAAGGGTTCTCCTGTGTCAAATATGTTTGGGGAACTCAGAGTACTAGATGCACCCTGTAGAGACAAACAACATACACTGACATATCGAAAACTCTAGGGAAGATCTGCAATCGTGGAGCCTGCTTCTTTGTGTATGACCCAGCATTTCCCATACTGATTTGACCACGCAACTCTTTTTGTCACCGGACATCTATTGACACCCCCAGATCTTATAACACACAGAACACCCTGCGGAGTTCCTCACACTCTAAGAAGTCAGTGAAAGCTCAAGGTTCTAGGGGAAAATCAGGCTATAAACCCACAAGGCCAGCACACAAACCAGGGAGCGTTACCGTTGTCTATCATCCGCTGCTTGGTCAAGATCATGAGCAGGCGGTCCACTTCGAAGACACCCACCCCGGGGGTGATCACCACAGACATCTGTCCCGTTCGGTCAAAGTTGCGGTTGATATAGTGCTTGTCAAACACTTGAAACACAACAAAAATTCCCCAATAATGATGCAACAGCTTTTCAGAAACCAGCCACAGGCAAGCATCTCTGCACTCTCAGAGGATTATGTCCATATTTCTATTACACCAACTGCCACATTCTAGTTGGTTGTCTGTCTTTCCTCTCCTACATTAAGAAGTGCTTCAAAACAGAACTAAGTCCCCGTCATCTTTGTCAATCCCCCTCATGGATGCCTAACAATTGCCTTAATGTAGCTTTAACTGCTCAGATCTCATGTCATTAATTTAAACCATCCATAAATGAGTCTATACTGAAATTTGTAAGAATCAACTATTAATTTAAGACAATATTTAAGAGAGTGGACCAGAATCTTGGGATGACTTTGTAAATTTGGCAAGTTAATTTTTATTTCTAGCCTCTGTGATTCTTACTATGGAAAATCAGTGATATTCAAATATGACAAAAAGATTTCACAATAAAAGACACTATACTCTAGAATTCCCCAGCACCTGGGTGCAAACTCATGGAAAGGTGATATAACAGTGATGTAAGGCCGGGCACGGTGGCTCACGCCTGTAATCCTAGCACTCTGGGAGGCCGAGGCGAGCGGATTGCTTGAGGTCAGGAGTTCGAAACCAGCCGGAGCAAGAGCGAGACCCCATCTCTACTATAAATAGAAAGAAATTAATTGGCCAACTAATACATATAGAAAAAATTAGCCAGGCATGGTGACGCATGCCTATAGTCCCAGCTACTCGGGAGGCTGAGGCAGAAGGATCGCTTGAGCCCAAGAGTTTGAGGTTGCTGTGAGCTAGGCTGACGCCACGGCACTCACTCTAGCCTGGACAACAAAGCAAGACTCTGTCTCAAAAAAAAACAGTGATGTAAAAACACATCATCACTTCCACCACTGGCCAGAAACCTAAGCAGAGCTCTGGGCCTACCAGACTCTCTCCTGGGAATGTGGAATTTGGAGCAGAGGAGAGCAGAGACAGGGTTGCTGCTGGGAGCTTAATGCGTCTCTAGGAATTCCTGCTGCTGTGGTTCCCAGAGCCACCAAGGTCCCTTCTCCAACATGACATTTAAGCCTTTCCTAGCTACCCCACTAAGCTCCTGTGTCCTTAGAGTAAATTTCCCTTTTTGTTTAAACCAGGTGTCCTCAAACTATGGCGCACGGGCCACATGCGGCCCGCCTAGGACATTTATCCAGCCTGCTGGGTGTTTTTGCCACCATTGCCAGTCCTGCTTAGCAGCCAACTCGTCCTGGGCTCACAGTGCGCATGTGTGGAATGTGTGCCACACTCTCCAACGGCCCTCCAACGGTCTGAGGGACAGTGAACTGGCCCCCTGTTTAAAAAGTTTGAGGATCCCTGGTTTAAACTAACTCAGTAGGTTTGTTATTTGCAAACAGTAGTATTTCAGCTAACACATAAATGCAGGGACATTCAAAAGAAATCACATCACACTGTTAACAATGGTTCCCCTTAGAAAATGACTGATAGTGCTCAGTGGGGGATGGGGGTATCACTTTTTATTTAATATACCTCTCTCCATACTCGAATTCTAGGAACATGGGTTACTTTTGTACTTTTTTTAAAGTAGAATTTTAAAAATTACCTAGAAGCAGCTGAGGATAGAGTGAAAAATAATAAGAACACAGTTTGTAGTAAAACAAAGAGGCCAAGGAAGACTCCCTCTGGCTCTTTACCATGAGAAACAGATAACACTACCACGGAAGTTAATTTCCCAATAGAAGACCCAAGAGCTAAATGTTGGTCATTAAAGCCATCTAATCAGAAGTTATTGCATAGAATTAACGTGGGGGGTAGGTGGGCAGGGGGATCATCACCTAGGTCTGGGTCTTTTGAGCAGTAGTAAAGAGAAGTTCACAGCCATGGGCAAGCAAGATGCTGGCTCGCTATGGTGGCATCTGTACTCACCGTTGAATGACAGATTGATGGCCTCCAGGTAGTTTCCCTGTGCTGAGGTAGAATTGTCTCCTTGAGGAAAGCCCTCTGAAGCAAAACATACAAGCAAAGGAAAAACATCTCATGAAAGATGAACTCTCAAAAAATAAGTAGAAGGTGTCTGGCTTCCCAGGGCCCTCCACCCTATATTGGGGACACTCTTGAACTTTCTACATATGGAATGAACAACTGGATCCACTTGGAAACAGAAACCTGACCAGAAGCAGAAATTACACACAGCAATGGATGGGAAACAAGCACAAACCTCTTCTCTGTCTTCCAGCCTCCCTCCCATACCTCCTTTCGCCACCACACCTTCTGTTACATGGATGCAGTACCTGCCTGTTCCAGGCGCACCAACACTGGATACTGGATGAAAAGTTTTTTAATGGTCACAAGGAGGGAAGTCCACTCTTCTCTTCTCTCATTCTGCACCACCACTCTGAAAGGAGTATTATCGTAAGATGGATATCAAGCAGCTATTACGTCAGTTCTCTTATAAGGTTTCAAGGAAAGAAGAAGATGAAATTCCCAGAATTGGGGGAATTAACTATATAATAGTAAGTAATAGCCGGGCACAGTGGCTCACGCCTGTAATCCTAGCACTCTGGGAGGCCAAAGGAGGGAGGAGCATTTGAGCTCAGGAGTTCGAGACCAGCCTGAGCAAGAAGGAGAACCCATCTCTACTAAAAATAGAAAGAAATTAATTGGCCAACTAAAAATACATAGAAAATATTAGCTGAGCATGGTGGCACATTCCTGTAGTCCTAGCTACTCGGGAGGCTGAGGGAGAGGGATTGCTTGAGCCCAGGAGTTTGAGGCTCCTGTGAGCTAGGCTGATGCCACAGCACTCTAGCCTGGACAACACAGTAGACTCTGTCTCAAAAAACAAACAAACAAACAGACCAGGCATGGTGGCTCTTGCCTGTAATCTCACACTTTGGGAGGCCGAAGCAGGAGGATCACTTGAGGCCAGGAGTTTGGGACCAGCTGGGGCAACACAGCGAGACACTCCCTTTACAAACACATGTAAATCTTAGCCAGGCATGGTGGTGCACACCTGTGGCCCCAGCTAGTTGGGAGACTGAGACAGGAAGTTCACTTTAGCCCAGGGTTTGAGATTACAGTGAGCTATCATCAGGCCATTGTACCCTAGCCTGGGTGACAGAGCAAGATCCTGTCTCTAATAAAACAAACTCAAAAACCAACCACAGGCCAGGTGCGGTGGCTCACGCCTGTAATCCTAGCACTCTGGGAGGCCGAGGCGGGTGGATTGCTCGAGGTCAGGAGTTCAAAACCACCCTGAGCAAGAGTGAGACCCCGTCTCTACTATAAATAGAAAGAAATTAACTGGCCAACTAATATATATAGAAAAATTTAGCTGGGCATGGTGGCACATGCCTGTAGTCCCAGCTATTTGGGAGGCCGAGGCAGCAGGATTGCCTGAGCCCGGGAATTTGAGGTTGCTGTGAGCTAGGCTGATGCCATGGCACTCACTCTAGCCTGGGCAACAAAGTGAGACTCTGTCTCAAAAAAACAACCACAGTTATAAAAGATTTATTCTTTATAGATGGTATTACAAAATTGCAAAAGGAAAAAAAATACAAGTAGGAATTGTATGCTGGCTTGGGTCTTAGGAAGGAACTAGTTACAAAGATATATTATATATTTAAGGTTGGGAGTCTGGGGAAGATGGACCATTTGAGCCAAAAACTAAACCCCCATAATAAATGGTTACTCCAAAACAGAGAGACATCGTATCTCCAAGTCTGAGGTAAGAGCAGAAACTAACAAAGAATTCCGCCTCTCAGTTAAGGAAGGAAATAGTTTGAGGAAGCAAGACTCAACCAATAATAGGTTAGTAAGTTAGAGAGAAGAAATCTTTAAGGGCTTTAAACAAGTGTAGTCAAGGTGATGAAATGTGCCTCTTACCAAAGAGGTTATGTTTTATATAAACATAAAATCTTTGTACAAATGTAGGCAATAATGAAACAATCAATCCAACATCTTTTGAAAGCAACTGGCTTTCTAACATCCTTTTCAATATCTACCCTGTCCTCCAACTGAAGTGCCAATAATCATGTGATAAACTTTTTCATGCATTTGAGGCCAGGCATGGTGGTGCATGCCTGTAGTCCCAGCTAGTCGGGAGACTGAGGCTGAAGGACTGCTTGAGCCCGGTAGTTTGAGGTTGCTGTGAGCTAAGCTAACACCACGACACTCAGCCCAGGCAACAGAGTGAGACTTTGTATCAAAAAAAAAACAAAAAAAAAAACAACAAACTTTTTCATGCATTTGAGAATTTAAAAGATCATGGTCTAGGCCAGGCATGGTGGCTCACACCTATAATCCTAGCGCTCTGGGAGGCCAAGGAGGGAGCATCGCTTGAGGTCAGAAGTTCCAGGCCAGTCTGATCAACACCCTGTCTCTACTAAAAATAGAAAAAATTAGCCAGGCATAGAGGCATGCGCCTGTAGGCCCAACTACTCAGGAGGCTGAGGCAGGAAGATCACTTGAGCTGAGGAGTTTGAGGTTGCCGTAAGTGAGGATAACACAATGCCACACTAGCCCAAGCAACAGAGCAAGATTCTGTCTAAAAAAAAAGACCAAATATAAGTTGTTTTGGGGGACAATTAAGGAAATCTAAAAATGTACTAAATGTCAGATGATATTATAGAATCATTATTAATTTTGTTAAATGAAATAATGATATTGTGGTTAGATATAAAAATGCCCTTTTTATAGGCATAAAAATAAAATGTTATGGTATCTATAATTACAAAACAAAATTCAGTCAAAAAACAGATGAATCAAATATGGCAAAATAATAACTGTTAAATGTAGGTATTGGGCATATGGGTTCATTATATTATTCATTCTTCTTTCATGTATGTTGACATTTTTCACAATAAAACATTTAGAAGACCTAAATATAATGTGACATCCTGGATTGGGTCATATAAGTAAATGGGTAGAAAAATTGGTGAAATCTGAAAAAAATCTGAATTTAATTAATACTTATGTACCATGCTAATTGCCTAGTTTTGACAAATATAACTTGGTTATGAAATGTTAACACTAGAGGAAACTGGGCAAAGGGTATATGGGAACACTCTATTACCTTCACAAATTCTCTGTAAATCTAAAACTATTCCAAAATAAAAAGGCTGATTTTTTTTAAAGTTAGGAAAGAAACAACCAATAAATAAATAAAAGGCATAGCAAGCACCCAAACATACTTGTAAAAGTCTTCATAGAATCGCCCCTTGTGATCCTGTCGAATTGAAGCTCGGTTTATTTCAGGAAATTCATCTGAAATAGAGAAAATGAAATATGTAGATCAGATTGAAAAGAGAATTTTACAGTTTTGTCAGCTTCCTCTTCTGGGTTAAAGATTTGCATCTGAAAAAAATAAAGATAAATGTCTATCTATTAAGTTGGGGTTTTTTGTTTTCTGGGTTTTTTTTTTCTTTTTTTAGAGACAGAGTGTCACTCTATTGCCCAAGGCTGGAGTGCACTGGTATGACCATAGCTCATTGTAGCCTCAAACTCCTGGGCTCAAGTGACTCTCCCACCTCAGTCTCCTGAGTAGCTGGGACTACAGGTGCATGACATCACACTCAACTAATTTTTTCTTTTTTTTGGAGAGATGATGTCTTACTACATTGCCCAGGCTGGTCTCCAACTCCTGGCCTCAAGTAACCCTCCTGCCTTTGCCTCCAAAGTGCTGAGATTACAGGTGTGAGCCACCATACCCAGCCTATTAACTTGGTTTTCAGATGTATCCCACAGACTTCTTGCAACCACTAATGGACTGTGGTACTTCCTGTTTTAGCCTGTCCTTACAAGGTGGGAAAGATGGAATAGCACAAAGGGAAAGAAGAAGAAAAGGAATGGTAGTCATTGGAGTAGGGGAAGCATAACCAAAAAATAACTGTAGGAAGGAAAAAGAGTTACTCACCAATAGATTTTGCATCATAGAAAGTTCTAGAAAATAGGACCACTGTTACTTCATGACTACAGTTCTTCTCCTAGGCACGAGTAGAGAAAAACAGTGCTCAAGTTTACTTCATTTACTTCACTATGAAGCAGCCTACATGTACATAATATTCTCAATTCTGGGAGGCTGAGCAGTAATGCAAAGCATTGGATAATTTCATGTAATTATAGGCTGTATAGTGCAGGGGGAAGAGTACTGCTGAGAAGAAGACCTGGATGGAATCCTGGCTCTGAAACTTACCATGATGTGACCTTCAGCAAGTTACCAAAAGTCTTAAGAGTATAGAAGACGCTTAGAAAACTGCAAATCATCAACAAGTAATGTTCCCCCATCACACAGTTCTTGAAGTGGCATGATATTGATCAGCCCAGTATTAGAGAGACTCATGATATTTGTACCTGTTTACAGTTTTTTAAATTTCTTCAGGACCGCAGTTTGGGGAACAAGAACAGCATTCCATGGTGGATTTCAAATCAAAGGTACTCCCCCATCCTACCACTGTCATAGGATAAGGATTGGGGGCTGCTCGAGATTTATAATCCGAGGGTATAATCCAAGGCCATGAATTATCTTTGGACAGGTTAGGATTAGCAAGAATAAATGTTTTCATGAATCTGGAGATCAACATCCTGGAAGGAGAGTGTTTACAGATGGACATGAAATGTGGCTTGTACCAGTGAGTCGGCAAGCTCAGTTTCAGTTCCTCCTGGGTCTTTGAAGAAAATAGCCTATACCAATCAACCTCTCCTCTATACCAACCATTCTTACTGACAATTCAGTATGCACGCACCATGTACGGTATACAACATACTGCACATTGTAAGCCATCTTATGTTCTGCTGTGGATATATTTCAAGTGGACATCCCCAAATACAAGTCACAATAGCCAGGGCAGAGCTCTAGGAAAGAGCAGATCTTCGTTAGCTACTGAACTAATTTAATGGATTCCAATTGCTCCAAACTCAGCATCCTTATCTAATTTTCAAAAACTAGTTGCCTAAAATCAACTGACCATAGATGTATTTGTTGATTTCTGTACTTCCAATTCAAATTCTATGGATCTATAAGTCTAACCTTATCCCAGTATCACACTGTTTTGATTACTATAGTTTTGTAGTAAGTTTTAAAATTAGGAAGTGAATGTCCTCCAAGTTTGTTCTCCTTTTATAAGATTGTTTTGGCTATTGAGAATCCCTTGCAATTCCACATGAATTTTAGGATCAGTTTTTCCATTTCTGTAAAAAAGGGTATTGGGATTTTGATAGGGACTGCATTAAACTGTAGATTGCTGAAAGTAGAATTGCCATTTTAATAGATCTTTCAATCTCTGAACAGAGGTTATCTATTTATTTAGTGCTTCATTAATTTCTTTCACAATGTTTTATAGATTTTAGCATATAAGTCTTGCACAGTTCCTTGGGCAAATTATTCCTCAGTATTTTGTTATTTCTGATACTACTGTTTGTTTGTTTTTATTTCTGCATATTATGGGGGTATGAATGTTTAGGTTATGTATATTGCCCTTGCCTCTCCCTCTCCCCTATTTCTGATACTATTGTAAATATTTTATTTAATTTCCTTTTCGGATTATTCATTCCTGGTGGATAGAAACATAAGTGACTTTGTTGATTTTATATCCTGAAACTTTGCCGAATTTATTAGCTCTAATAATTTTGTCTGGATTTTTTTAGGATTTTGTACATAGACAATCATGTCACATATGAATATAGTTTTACTTCTTTTCCAATTTGGATGACTTTTATTTCTTTTACTTGCCTAGTTGCTCTGTCTAGAACTTCTAGTACAATGCTGAATATCAGTGGCCAAAGCAAGCATCCTCTCTTGTTCCTGATCTTAGGGGAAAGTTTTTAGTCTTTCTCCACTGAGTATGTATGATGTTAGCTGTGTTTTTTTCACACATGCTCTTTATCATGTTGAAGTGATTAGGGCAATTTAAATCTTCGGTCAAGTTTTCTTTTTCAATTTTTAAATTTTTGAAACAGGGTCTCTGGCTCTATTGCTCTATTGCCTAGCTATGGTTGCAGTGGTGCGCTCACTGCAACCTCAAACTCCTGGGCTCAAGTGATCCTCCTGCCTCAGTCTCTGGAATAGCTGGAACTACAGGCATGCACCAGCACACCCACCTAATGGGGTCCAGGTTTTAGCTAAGATAGCTCAATTTAAGGCAGCTTAATAGAAACAGTGCATTTAAAAAAATCTGTATTGAGTAATTTTTACTCAATCAGACCTGGTATGTAGGAAGAAACGTACCTTCCACTTGGTAAATAGATCAGCAAGGAAACCATTCACAGCTTTCTCAAAATATAGATCCCCTGAAAAGAAACAATGAGAAGAAGCTGAAAACTATCTTTATTTCTTGCTTGCACTTTCTTCTTTAAGTAAAAGGAATGGGACCAAAGGGAAGATGGGTTCTTTTATATTTTAAAAGATCATAAAAGCCATGTACCAACTGGTTTCATCCTAGAGTTTCTATCAAGCCAAATTTATTTATTTACTTATTTATTTTTTCCTTTGGAGCTAGAAGTATTGGAAAGCCAAATTTAATGTCTGCATCACTCAGTAAGGAGCCATGGCTTCAAGGCAAAATATAAGTTTGAAAAAGAGTTTTGATGAGTGAAAATTATAGTGTTATCTTCAGAATAAGAGAACAATCTAACTTCCAAATATGGTAATTCTCACAGTGATGTTTAAAGTTTGTTAGAAGATGATTCAGTGGGCCCTGGGCATTCACGAATTACCACTGGCAGTTCCTGATATTCATGAGCAACCTTGTTGACACATAACAAAAATTAATTTGTAATTTTGCTAAACACAAATTTGAATTGTATGCACCATGAGGCTGGTGTGTTGGAGACAATATTTGCACCTCATAGCACCTTTATTGTTCTCTACTCATAAAATCATAATTCTAATAAAATAAAACAAACTTGGTTAATTCTGTGAATGACAGGAAGAGAAATGAAAGATATCAAAGGAAGTGTTGGTTGCTAACCATACTCATTCTATAACATTTCATCCTGTGCTTATAGAATAATTAAGGATCTGAGAATTCAGATTTTTCATTAATACTTTACTGCATTTCATGGACTTCATAATCTTTCTATATATACACATATAATTACATATATACAATTTATCTATCTATTTAATAATTTATCTTAGCGTTAGGACATATCCTTACAGAATGTCAAGAGCTCCCTGTAAAATGATACCAACTTGGGGGAAACCAGAAAATTCTCCCCAGTGACAGCTACAATCAGTACTTAGGAACAGTACCATAAATATCAAAATCCCACATTTCACAGCTCATCTGAATAAATATGTAAACCATAGCCGACGTAGAACGGAACACCACCTGAAATAAACAAAAACATAATTGCATTAGAAAGCAAAGATGTACAGTGTTCCAGTTCTGTAAGATGAAAAAGTTCTGGAGATCTGTTTCACGACAGTATAAATATAGTTAACACTACTGAACTGTATACTTAAAAATGGTTAAGATGGCAAATTTTATGATGTGGTTTTTACCAAAATTTTTTTAAAAAGCAATGATAGAAGAATTCTCTTAAGCATGATGTGGGACTTCCAAAAGCAATCTTCATCCATGCATACTTTGTTTCATTTAAATAGTTTCTGAGCTGGGCATGGTGGCTCACACCTGTAATCCCAGCAATTTAGGAGGCTAAGGAGTTTGAGACTACAGTGAGCTATGATTGCACCACTGCACTCCATCCTAGGGGACAGAGTGAGACCTTATCTCTAAAGAAAAAATAAAATAAATTTAAAAAATAAAAAATAGTTACTGAGCTCTTGCTCTGAGACCTGTATCATAGGCATTGAGGGTAAGATCTGGTCCCTGCCCTCTAGGAGCTTATAGCACAGGATAAATACACGCAAAATGTTGCAAAAGATACAAACGTCCATGAAAGCTCACATAAGAAATGCAGAAGAGGCAGTGACTCTATCTGGGAAAGTCATGGAAATCTCATCATGGTGACAGAACTTGAGCTAAGATATACTGGATGATGAATTGTCAGTTTAATAAATTAATAATTGGCCAGGTGCGGTGGCTCACGTCTATAATCCTAGAACTCTGGGAGGCCGAGGTGGGCAGATGGCTCAAGGTCAGGAGTTCGAAACCAGCGTGAGCAAGAGCGAGACCCCATCTCTACTAAAAAGAGAAAGAAATTAATTGGCCAACTAAAAATATATAAATAGAAAAAATTAGCTGGATTGCTTGAGGTCAGGAGTTTCAAATCAGCCTGAGCAAGATCGAGACCCTATCTCTACTATAAATAGAAAGAAATTAATTGGCCAACTAATATATATAGAAAAAATTAGCTGGGCATGGTGGCACATGCCTGTAGTCCCAGCTACTCAGGAGGCTGAGGCAGCAGGATTGCTTGAGCCCAGGAGTTTGAGGTTGCTGTGAGCTAGGCTGACGCCATGGCACTCACTCTAGCCTGGGCAACAAAGGGAGACTCTGTCTCAAAAAAAAAATAAAAATAAAAATAAAAATAAAAATATATATATATATACATATTTAAAAAAAAGATACTTTTCTAGATCTTGTTATATTATACACCATGTGTCTGTGTGTATGTACATAAATAAATTAAATATTTTTAGTTATGCCTGCATTTTATAGTTTAAGTTCCCTTTACTTTGAAACTATAAGAGTCAGTTATTATTGCATTCAAATCACCTTTCTAACAGTCCCTTCTTTTTTTGTTTTGTTTTTTTAGATAGATTGGTTTTTTTTGTTAAGATAAAAATTCACATAGCATAAAATTTACCATCTTAAAGTCCACAATTCAGGCGGGTGTGGTGGCTCACACCTGTAATCCTAGCACTCTGTGAGATCGAGGTGGGAGGATTGTGTTAGCTCAGGAGTTTGAGACCAGCCTGAGCAAGAATCAGACTCGATCTCTACTAAAAATAGAAAAATTAGCCGGGCGTTGTAGCTCACGCCCATAGTCCCAGATGCTATTCCGGAGGCTGAGGCCAGAGGATCACTTGAGTCCAGTAGTTTGAGACTGTAGTGAGCTACGATGACACCACTGCACTCTACCCAGGATGACAAAATGAGACTGTCTAAAATTAAAAAAAAAAAAAAAAAAAGTCTACAATTCAGTAGTTTTTAGTACATTCACAACGTTGTGCAACCATCACCACTCTCTAATTCCAAAACATTTCCACCACTCCACAAAGAAACTCCATGCCTATTAGCAGTTACTTTCCACTTCCCCTTCCCCTCCATACCTTGGGGACCACAAATCTACTTTCTATCTCTATAGATTTGCCTATTGTGAACATTTGACATAAATGGAATAATACAATTCGTGGTCTTTTGTGACTGGTTTCTTTCACTTAGCATAATGTTTTCAAGGTTCATCCACGTTGTTGCATGCATCATGCTGCATGAATCAAAAAGAACTTTATTTTTATTGCTGAATAATGTCCCACTGTATGAATATGAATATACCATGTTTTGCTTATTCATTCATCAGCTGATGAACATGCGGGTTGCTTCCACTTTTTGGCTATTATGAATAATGCTGCTGTGAACATTCGTATGCCAGGGTTTTTTTTTTTTTTTGAGACAGAGTCTCACTTTGTTGCCCAGGCTACAGTGAGTGCCGTGGCATCAGCCTAGCTCACAGCAACCTCAATCTCCTGGGCTCAAGCGATCCTCCTGCCTCAGCCTCCCAAGTAGCTGGGACTACAGGAATGCGCCACCATGCCCGGCTAATTTTTTGTATATATATTTTTAGTTGGTCAATTAATTTCTTTCTATTTTTGGTACATACGGGGTCTCATTCAGGCTGGTTTCGAACTCCTGACCTCAAGCAATCCGCCCACCTCAGCCTCCCAGAGTGCGAGGATTACAAACGTGAGCCACCACGCCTGGCCCGTATGCAAGTTTTTATGAAAAATGTTTTCAGTTCTCTCAGATATATACATAAGAGTGGAATTGCTGGGTCATATGGTAATTCTACACTTAACTTTTTAAGGAACCACTAAACTGCTTTATGCAGTGGCTGTAGCATCTTACATTCTCACCAGGAGTGTATGAATGAGCATTCTAATTTCTCCATATCCTCCCCAACACTTGTTTTCCTTTTTCAAAATTTTTATTTTTATTATAGCCCTCTTAATGGATTTAAAGTGGTATTTCATTGTGGATTTGATTTACATTTCCCAAATGACTAATAAAGTTGAGTATCTTTTCACATTTTATTGGCCATTTGTATATCTTCTTTGGAAAAATGTCTATTCAAACCATTTGCCCAATTTTTAATCATGTTGTTTGCTTTCCTTTCTTTTCAATTTTTTAAAATTTAGCGCGTGCACGTGTGTGTGTGTGTGTGTGTGTGTGTGTGTGTGTGTGGGTGGGTGGATGGGTGTGTGTATGTTTGTTTGTTTTTAGAGATAAGGTCTCATTCTGTCACCTAGGCTGTAATGCCGTGGTGAATCATAGTTCTCTATAACCTCAAACTCCAGGGCTCAAACAATCCTCCTATTGCCTCCTCAGCCTCCCAAGTAGCTAGGACTATAGGCATGTGCCACCATGCTCAGCTCATTTTTTTTAAAGTGAATCAAACATTTACTTTATTTGAATGTTTTTAAAAGACACTTTGAAAATTCTAGTTAATTCTGGTTAGAACTTTTTCTATATTTTAATATTTTTATATACATAGTATATCCTACATTATACCTACATTAACTTTTTGTTTTTGTTTTTTTTTTGAAACAGAGTTTCACTTTGTTGCCCAGGCTAGAGTGAGTGCCATGGCATCAGCCTAGCTCACAGCAACCTCAATCTCCTGGGCTCAAGTGATCCTCCTGCCTCAGCCTCCCGAGTAGCTGGGACTACAGGCATGCGCCACCATGCCCTCTAATTTTTTCTATATATATCAGTTGGCCAATTAATTTCTTTTTATTTATAGTAGAGATGGGGTCTCGCTCTTGCTCAGGCTGGTTTTGAACTCCTGACCTTGAGCAATCCTCCTGCTTCGGCCTCCCAGAGTGCTAGGATTACAGGCGTGAGCTACTGCGCCCGGCCTACAATAACTATTATAATAATTAATGTTGACACTCTTAATTTAGAACCTTGGGTGCTTTCTTATTATTTCTATGAAAAATTTCAAATATGCTAAAAAATTTTAAAGTTCGTACAAGACACACCCACATACTCACCACCTATCCTACACTTGAAATGACATTTGCTACATCATTTATCTATCTTTTCATCCTTTTAGTATCAATTCACCTTATTTTTTCTATAAAGAAATAAGTTACAGACATTAAACATTAATACTCCCTTACCTTTTGTCACTTCTAGTCTGTTTGTTTGTTATTTGAGACAGAGTCTCCCTCTGTTGCCCAGGGTAGCACTCTAGGTGTCAGCCTAGCTCACAGCAACCTCAAACTCCTGGGTTCAAGCAATCCTCCTGCCTCAGCCTCCCGAGTAGCTGGGACTACAGGTGTGTACCTCCACATCTGGCTAATTTTTAAATTTTTAGTACAGATGGGGTGTTGCTCTTGCTCACGCTGTTCTCTAACTCCTGACCTCAAGCAATCATCCCACTTCGGCCTCCCAGAGTGCTAGGATTACAAGCATGAGCCACCCACCTTGCCTGGCCCACTTCTAGTCTTTTATGGGTTGGAAAACCAGGTAATGGAACTGGCTATAAAGTTTAACTAAAGTAAAAGGGGCTTAGGACATTAATTAAACTAATTTCTTTTCACATATTAAAATCTTGTTTTTCTAATCAGATTATGAATTCTTAAGGCAGTGGGGAGCATGTCTAAAATTTCATTCAACAAACATTTGAGAGACCACTAAATGCCAACAGCCATGCCAGAGATCTTGGGGGTATAAATGTAAAAGATACAGTCCTTGCCCTCAGGGTGCTTGCAGTCCAGTGGCAAGGCTCACAAGCAAGTGTACCCACCACAGTGTGGTAACTACTAATGTATGCACAGGTCCAGGATGCCACGGAGACACTTTTAGCTGTGGGATCAGGAAGGCTTTCCAGAAGCAGAGAAGCCTGGATGAGTGGCTTGGGAAGGTAGGCAGGCAGGGTTGAGAGGGCAGCATGTGCAAAGTTATGGGCACAAGAGACAATGTGGCATGTTTGGAGAACAGCGAACAGTTTGCTTGGCTAGGATACTGGCGAGAGGGGGAAAACACATGGGAGAAATGATGAAATGGAGCCCAGACTCAACTGCCTCCCCTGATTTCGCCACTCAGACGTCCAACAGGCATCTCACAAACCGAACTCTTTTTTCCTCCTAACTTGCTTATTCTCTGATATCACCATTTCATGAATAGCACCAACATCCACCCAGCTGCTCGGTTCTTTTCTTTGCTTCACTCCGTGGACTCTACCCGGAAATATATCTCCTATTTGCCCACCTCTCTCCACCATTACAGCTCTCACCTTAGTGCAAACCACCAGCTTCTTGATGGATTACAGGAGGCCTCCTAACTCATTTCTTTGATTTTTCATTTGCCTCCACAAACAACACTCTACACCAGAGCTAGAGGGGCTGCAGCAGTAATGCCAGATGCCTGTCCATTCTTCCCGTCTTCCTAAGTAACTAGAAGATGGTTTTATTCTGGGAGGCAAGAGACCCAGTCAAAAGACTAAACTTCCCAGACTCCTTAGCAGCTACAAGTGACTAAATTCTGGAAAGTAAGATATAAATAAAAGTGCTGTGTCCATAAAGGAAGCTGACTTGGGTGGAAGGTACACCCCTCTTGCCTCTCTTCCTCTGTCCTCTGCCTTGAATATGGAGATGGTTACAGCAGCTCCAAAAAGTCTTATTCTGAGGATCGCAGAACAGGAAGACAGAAGGAGCCCTGGATCACCAATATTTGTAACACTAGCATACCTACCATGAATTATGGACTTTTTTTACATGAGAGAAAAAAGTTGACCTTTAAGCATTACAGCCACTGTTATTCTGAGGGTTTTAGTTCAACAAAATCCAACTTAACGAACAGTGATCTTTTAAAGTATAATTCATGTACTTAAAATCCTTCAATGGATTCTAATTGTACTTAGAATAAATTCTAAACTGGTTACAATGACCCCTAAGGCCCTACATGATCTGGCTGGAACCTGTCTACCTCCTCGCTGACACCATTCTCCCTACCTGTCTGCAATATTTCCACCACACTGGCCTCTTGCAATTGTTTCCTCTGCCTGGAATGTTCTTCACTGCAACCTTTATACACTGCCTAAGCCTCACCTTTCAGGTATCTTTGTGAGGAAACATTCCCTGCCCACCTTTGTAAAGAAGGTTTTTCTGTTATTCTCCATCTCAGTGTTCCATTTCTCTCCGGATTGCTAATTTATTTGATTTGTTTACTAAGGAGGCCAGCGTCAGTCCCTTTCCTTCGAGAATACTCACCATAATCTGTCATTACTCCATTTATGGATGGGGTGACTAGTTATATCTGTTCTCCCGCTAGGGCATAAGCTCCTTACTAGCAAGAGGTTGACTGTGCTGTTCACCATGGACCCCAGTGCCTAGCAACAGTAGCTGGCACACAGTAGGTACTTTGATATTATTTGTTTAATAAATGAATGAAGGAGTTTGAAGAGGCAAGCACATGCCAAAGTATCATGATCTTTGTAAGCCATGCTTTCGAGTTCCAAATTTTTAGAAAACTAAGGAAAAGCAAATTAGGATCACTATGAAATACAAATTTATGATACCTACAGTTGCAAAAACCTTTAAAATCTAATGCCAGGCCGGGCGCTGTGGCTCACGCCTGTAATCCTAGCTCTTGGGAGGCCGAGGCGGGCGGATTGCTCAAGGTCAGGAGTTCAAAACCAGCCTGAGCAAGATCGAGACCCCGTCTCTACTATAAATAGAAAGAAATTAATTGGCCAACTGATATATATATAAAAAAATTAGCCGGGCATAGTGGCGCATGCCTGTAGTCCCAGCTACTCGGGAGGCTGAGGCAGAAGGATCACTGGAGCCCAGGAGTTTGAGGTTGCTGTGAGCTAGGCTGACGCCACAGCACTCACTCTAGGTTGGGCAACAAAGCGAGACTCTGTCTCAAAAGAAAAAAAAAAAAAAAAAAAAATCTAATGCCAACTGTCAGAAAAAGTAAAAAACAAATTTTATACATTGCTACTAGGAGTATAAACTAGTCCAAACAATTTGAAAAACAATTTGACAATATCTTACAGAGTAGAATCTGTGACCCAGCAAATACACTCTATATACTTTTTTTTAAAGAGATGAAGTTTCACTATATTACTCAAGCTGGCCTTGAACTCCTGGCCTCAAGAAATTCTCTCACCTAGACCTCCCAGGTAGCTGCAACTATAGCCATGAGCCCCCATGCACAGCTCCAAATATACTCTAATTACAGATTTTTTGTTTTTTTGTTTTTTTTTTTTTGAAACAAGAGTCTCACTCCGTTGCCCTGGCTAGAGTGCCATGGCATCAGCCTAGCTCGAAGCAACCTCAAACTCCTGGGCTCAAGCAATCCTTCTGCCTCAGCCTCCCAAGTAGCTGGGACTACAGGCATGTACCACGGTGCCCAGTTAATTTTTTTCTATATATTTTTAGTTAGCCAATTAATTTCTTTCTCTTTTTAGTAGAGACAGGGTCTCACTCTTGCTTAGGCTGGTTTCGAACTTCTAACCTTGAGCGATCTGCCAGCCTCGGCCTCCCAGAGTGCTAGAATTACAGGCATGAGCCACTGTGCCCCGCCTAATTACAGATTTTTTTTTTTAAGTTTTAAAGAGATGGGGTCTCACTATGCCGCCCAGGCTGGTCTCAAACTCCTGGCCTCAAGCAATCCTCCCACCTCAGCCTTACAGGTCACTGAAATTATTACAGGCATGAGCCACTGTGCCCAGTCTTTAATTACAGATTTAAAATATAGTACTGAGTACAAAAAAATCTAGTTAAGAAAGACTACATCCATTTTTATTGCACTTAAATAAAACTCAAAAATGAGCAAAACAAATACTATCTAGGGTAAAAATATATGCATTAAAATTATATAAATAAAAAACTACATACCAGCACTTTCCCTTTTTAATTAAAAAAAAAAAAAAACTACAAAAATAAAATTTAGATAATGGTTACCTCTAACAGCACTGGTTTTCAACTAAGGGTGATTTTGCCCCTAAGGGGACATCTGGTAATGTATGGAGACATCTCTGGCTGTCATGAGTTGTAGGGTGGGGTGTGGTGGGTGAATCTAGCATCTGGTGGGTAGAAGCCAGAGATCCTGCTAAATATTCCATAATGCACAAGACACCCCCCACAACATGACTGACATTTGGGGCCAGATAACTTTTCGCTCTGGAGGCCTATTCTGTACATGTAGCATGTTTAGCAGCATCCCCGCTAGATGCCAATGACGTAAGCCCCAAGGTGCGACAACCAAAAATGTCTCCAGACGTCAAAAGACCTCTGGGCGGAGGGGTGAAAAATCACCCCCGGTTGAAAACCATTGCTCTCAGGGGAGACAGAGAGACAGGAAAAAGGAAAAGTAGACAGATAGTTTAATTTTTGCTATGTATTAGTGAGCACAGCATCCTACAGGCTAGATGCTATATGTCTCTGGGCAATATTAAATAAATGCCTTCAGAAGAAAAAAATGAAGATCAACTCCAAACCAGAGAGATCCAACCATAAAACATCAGAGTTGGAGGAGACCCTGACAATATTACCAGTTCCACCTAGGCAAATAGTAGCAATCAGGAGATTTATCAGATATATGTTTGTATTCTTTTTGATTTTAGGACTAAAGACATAATGGTACAGAGAGACAAAACTGAAAAAGCATCTTATAAATCTTACCCTGGTATCTTCACTGATATAACCACACATGACCTTCTCATTCTTGACCCACAGCTCACCAGCCTGTGCCCTGAAAGGAGACACACACAGAAATTATTACAAGTCTTACATTAAACCAAGAAGAAACAGGGGCAACTTCAGGTGACTTCCCCTACTCTGATACTTACATCCAATGGCCTGACTTGTTACAGATTTGCAAAGAGAAATCCATGAACAAATTAGCCAATATAAAGAATTCTCATAGCATACTGGGTATGAAAAACAGCTCTTAATCTGGGAGTCCACAGACAACATACAGATCTAAGATAGAGCTTCAGGGAATCTGTGAACCCTTTGAAATGATAAGTAAAAATTTCCAGGCAGAGAATCTACAGCTTTGGTCAAACCTTGAAAGGGCCCCATGTCACAAAATATTGAGAAGCACTGAAAAACAATTTTGCTAAGCCCAGTTTTTTGTGGGTTTTTTTTTTTGAGACATGGTATCACTTTTTTGCCTAGGCTAGAGTGCAGTGGCATCATCACAGCTCACTGCAACCTTGAACTCCTGGACTCAAGAAATCCTCCCACCTCAGCCTCTCAAAATGCTAAGATTACAGATGTGAGCTGCACCCAACCTGCTAACCCCAGTTTTGATATAATGAGTTTTTCAAGAGAGACAAAAATCCATAGTATAGTATCAGGATTAGAACACAAGCAGTCAGGAGACATGAAGGTTCAGGGTCCCTATTCAATGGAGGCCACTTTGCTGAAAAATTACAATGACAACTTGGTGCTACATTTTTCAGGCTTGATGTTTTTCCTCTGCAACTTTTGAAGGTGTGAAATAGATAGTACAGTACAAAATGCATGGCTTTCATAGCTGACCAGCCTGGAGAGAAACTGGTCTATGCAGGAATCCCAGCTGAGTGTAACTTAATAGTTAAATGGCCACAGGGAAATAACTCATGAGGTTCAGTATCCTTATCTTAAAGAATGAGACAGTGATACCTACCCTATAGAGCTATTTTGAAAATCAAACCAAATAATGTGGGGAAATTGTTCAGGACAGCCCTAGGACTGAAGACAGGTGCTCAATTAAGAGCACTAGTAGGTATTTGTATTTGTGAGAACTATTAAGTATAGCCAATATTAACACAAAATGTTACTCTGGAGAGAAAGTGGTAGCTGTTGAGGACCCAACCTCTCAAGCCCTTATCTTCTACCAATCTCACTCTCTTTCCACTAATATAGTCACCAGCCCAAGACCTAAGCAATCAGTCCTCATGAAAAAGATCAGATAAAAGCCAGAAAATGCTGTGTACCACAAGTCACAGCTCAGGTTACCTAGAAAATGCCGAATAATCAAATAACCTCTCTGGGCCTCCCTCATATCTCTAAAATGAAGATGGTTGAACCAGGCCTATGGCTTACACCAAGAGGAGTACCTCCCGGTTCTCCTTTGCCCAAAATCAGTAAATGTGGTTAATATGAATCCTGCCCCATCCATCTTCGAGGGCTCCTGGGAAGGTCAAATAAGATACTGTACATGAGAGGACTTGGTAAACTGCAAAACAGTTATTAATATTATTCCTATGGAAATAGTGCATTATTAAAACACACACAAACACACACAAAATGCAATGTTGACCCTTACTCCCAAGCCTTTAATTTTTCCTTATCCAACAGGAACCAAGAATAGCCCAGAGGCATTATTTTTCTCTTTTCTACTGGTTCATGGGAGAAAGAAATGCCACTGACAAATGCAAGCACAAAATTTATATCCCCAGGACACAACACAAGAGCACATATGGCTTCCCACAGCAACAGAGGCAAATCACACACTGCCAAGCCCTAGACAGAGATGAAGGAGACCTGGGGACATGAGCTCAAGCAGGTCACTTCCCTCCTTTTTCTATCAAATGAGTTGTTGGGGGTCAGGGATCTCCACTATCCTTTACAACTAAGTGTCATCATTCTGTAAATTAAAAAGTTAAAATAAGTTAAAATGTGATTCAGCAGGCTACAGTCCCAAGTTTAGTATTTAAAAAACCAAAAAGCTGGGCATGCTGGCTCGCACCTGTAATCCTACCCCCTCTGTGAGACTGAGGCAGGAAAATTGCTTGAGGCCAGGAGTTCCAGACCAGCCCGAGCAACAGTAAAACCCTGTCTCTACAAAAAATAGAAAAATATTAGCCTGTTGTGGTGGCATGTGTTTGTAGTCCCAGCTACTCGGAAGGCTGAGGCAGGAGGATTGCTTGAGCCCTGCAGTTCAAGATTGCAGTGAGCTGTGATGATGCCACTGCACTGTAGCCAGGTCAACAAAGTGAGACTCTCTCTCAAAAAAATTAATTAATTAAAAAATTAAGAAAAGGCTGGGCGCGGTGGCTCATGTCTATAATCCTAGCACTCTGGGAGGCCGAGGCGGGAGGATTGCTTAAGGGTCAGGAGTTCGAAACCAGCCTGAGCAAGAGCCAGACCCCGTCTCTACTATAAATACAAATAAATTAATTGGCCAACTAATATATATAGAAAAAATTAGCCGGGCATGGTGGCGCATGCCTGTACTCCCAGCTACTCAGGAGGCTGAGGCAGCAGGATTGCTTGAGCCCAGGAGTTTGAGGTTGCTGTGAGCTAGGCTGATGCCACGGCACTCACTCTAGTCTGGGCAACAAAGCAAGACTCTGTCTCAAAAAAATAAATAAATAAAAATAAAAAAGAAACAAATAAATAGAGCAAAAGGTCAATCATTAGGAAATAATTTTTTTTTTTTTTTTGAGACAGAGTCTCGCTTGTTGACCAGGCTAGAGTGAGTGCCGTGGCGTCAGCCTAGCTCACAGCAACCTCAAACTCCTGGGCTCAGGCAATCCTCCTGCCTCAGCTCCTGAGTAGCTGGGACTACAGGCATGCACCACCATGCCCAGCTAATTTTTTCTATATATATTAGTTGGCCAATTAATTTATTTCTATTTATATAGTAGAAACGGGGTCTCACTCTGGCTCAGGCTGGTTTCAAACTCCTGACTTCGAGCAATCCACCCACCTCGGCCTCCCAGAGTGCTAGGATTACAGGCATGAGCCACCGTGCCCGGCCAGGAAATAAAATTTTATGGTGATATTTTTCTTTTAAAATTTTGTTTGGTGTTTTTAAAATTAAGTTTTTAACATTTTAAAGAATACATTGGGAATTTATAGAGAAAATTAAACTATTTATCTTTTAAGAAAAATAATGTTTCTTCTGGTCATAATTGCTGTTAAAAAAAAGAGAAAAAAATTTTAAAATATTAAAAAATATAAACATTGAAAAAAAATGTTTCAAAGGCAAGGTCTCACGATAATGAAACTGTCTCATTATCCTTAATTATTTACCTAATTACCAGGTTGAAAGTTACAGAGAAATTCCTCAAAAGTTCATATTGAATTTCTACCACATCTGCGGTTACTTCAAAAACAAAAGAAAATAAAAAAACAAAGTAAAATTAATAAATTAAAAAAGAAAAACAATTCATATTGACATTAACTATACAGATAATTACTATACTTTCTTTTCCTCACATGAGGTCCAGAACATCTTCTGAGTTTATGCATTCATGCAATTGGCAAGAGAAAGTGAACTTTGATCCAATGTATAATAGAAATACTGTAAGCCTTTTGGAGAAAGGATAGAAGACTTTGTGGTTTACATTTAACCATGCCTGAGCAAAATATTAGGACAGATCATGAAAACTCTAAAACTGACATTGTGTCAGGGTCTTCTTTCTCTACCTAACACCACGTGTATGGGGGCATTTACAAAGAGAAACAAGGAATTTAAGAATGAAAGGGATCCAAGAGGGTTTCTAAACCAGGGCACAGCAAACTATATATAGCCTACAGGCCAAATCCAGCCCATCTCCTGCCTTTCTACGTCCACAGCTATGAATGGCTGTTACATTTTTAAACAGATAGACACACACAGAATATACAACAGAGACCTGACACCTATGTGGCCCAGGAAGACTAAAATATTTATTATCTAGTGCCTGACAGAAAAAGATTATAAACCAACCATTCCATACAGCACATGTGGAGACTGAAAGTTTACCTGACTTGCCCAATATCATCCTAATTACTGACCACAGTGATGGCTAATCACTGGCACTGCAGGAGATCCAGGTTTCCTGACCCTCAGTTTACCATCCAGCATGAATCTAGCTTGCATTTTTTGGTCTGCTTGAGATAAATCACTTGAGTTGTGCCTTAGTTACTTGGATTTTTTTTTCTTTTTTTTTTTTCAGCATATTATGGGGGTACAAATGTTAAGGTTACGTATATTGCCCATCCCCCCTCGAGTCAGAGCCTCAAGCATGACCATCCCCCAAATGTTGCACATCTCACTCATTGTATTTGTATACACCCATCCCCTTTCCCCCTCCCACCTGCCCAGCACCCGATAAATGTTATTCCTATATGTCCACTTAGGTGTTGGTCCGTTAATACCAATTTGCTGGTGAGTACATGTGGTGCTTGTTTATCCATTCTTGAGATACTTGACTTAGTAGAATGGGTTCCAGCTCTATCCAGGAAAATACAAGATGTGTTATATAATCATTGTTTCTTAAAGCTGACTAGTACTCCATGGTATACACATACCACATTTTATTAATCCACTCATGAATTGATGGGCACTTGGGTTGTTTCCACAGCTTTGCAATTGTAAATTGTGCTGCTATAAACATTCATGTGCAGGTGTCTTTTTCATAAAGTGACTTTTGATCTTTTGGGTAGTTGCCCAGTAGTGGAACTGCTGGATCAAATGGTAGATCTACTTGTATCGCTTTGAGGTATCTCCATATTGCTTTCCACAGAGGTTGAACTAGTTTGCAGTCCCACCAGCAGTGTAGGAGTGTTCCTCTCTCTCCGCAACCATGCCAGCATTTATGTTTGGGGACTTTCTGATACAGGCTATTCTTACTGGAGATAGGTGATATCTCCTTGCAGTTTTGATTTGCATTTCCCTGATGATTAGAAATGTTGAGCATTTTTTCATATGTTTGTTGGCCATTATTCTATCCTCTTTTGAAAAATTTCTATTCATGTCCTTTGCCTATTTTTTGATAGAGTTGTTTGATTTTTCCTTGCTGATTTTCCTAAGTTCTAAATAAATTCTAGTTATGAGCCCTTTATCGGATGTAATTGCGAAAATTTTCTCCCATTCCTCAGCATGGGTTATCTGTTTGCTCTCTTGACAGTTTCTTTGGCTGTGCAGAAGCTTTTTACTTTGATCAGGTCCCATTTATTTATTTTTGTTGCTGCTGTGATTGCCTTTGGGGTCTTCTTCATAAATTTTTTGCCTAGGCCAATGTCTAGAAGAGTATTTCCAACGTTTTCCTCTAGAATTCTAATAGTTTCACACCTAAGGTTCAAGTCTGTTACCCAGCATGAGTTGATTTTTGTGAGTGGTGAAAGGTGTGGGTCTTGTTTCAGTCTCCTACATGTGGCTATCCAGTTTTCCCAGCACCATAAACAAGACAAGGTTGCCCACTATCTCCACTTCTATTCAACATAGTGCTGGAAGTCCTTGCTACAGCAATCAGACAAGAGAGTGGAATTAAGGGCATCCAAATGGGAGCAGAAGAGATCAAACTCTAACTCTTTGCTGATGACATGGTATTATACCTAGAAAACCCTAAGGATTCAACCAAGAGACTCCTTGAATTGATAAATGAATTTGGTAAAGTCTCAGGATACAAAATCAATATACAGAAATCAGAGGTATTCAAATATGCCAAAAACAGTAAAAGTGAAAACCAAATCAAAGACTCAATTCCCTTCAAAACAGCAACAAAGAAAATAAAGTATCTAGAAAAATATTTAAGGTGGTAAAAGACCTCTACAGGGAGAACTATGAAACACTGAAGAAGGAAATAGCAGAGGATGTAAACAGGTGGAAGACCATACCATGCTCGTGGGCTGGCAGAATTAACATTGTTAAAATGTCTATACTACCCAAGCTGACCTACAGAGTCAATGCAATCCCTATCAAAATATCATCATTTTTCACAGATATAGAAAAAATAATTTTACACTTCATATGAAACCAGAGAAGACCCCGTATAGCAAAATCAATTCTAGGCATAAAAACAAAATAGGAGGTATCGATTTACCAGACTATACAAGGCTATAGTCATTAAAACAGCTTGGGACTGGCACAAGAACAGGGACATTGACAAGTGGAACAGAACCAAGAACACAGATATAAAACCATCCTCCTATAGCCAACTAATCTTCAACAAAGCAGACAAAAACATACACTGGGTAAAAGTTACTTGGATTTTTAAAAGAATTTTGACCCAACAACAACCTTTAAAACATTTTTTTTAGCTCACAATCCTGAAGGCTGGGGAAATAAAAAAAAAAATCCTTTTTGGGGGAGGAAAAATGAATACTTTATCCCTTCTTTCTTTTTAGGATCAGTATTTCAGACTAATCAAATAGCCCTAGTTGATGATAAAAAGTTCTTTACAAAAGGATTCTAGAGCTTGGTGCAGTGGCTCACACCTGTAATCCCAAAACTTTGGGAGGCTGAGGTGGGAGGATCGCTTGAGCCCAGGTGTTCAAGATGAGCCTGGAGGCTGATATCCATATGACTCAAATGCCTTATGTAGCCCAGTTACTACATAGATAAGTCAAGAGTGATATAATAGCTACCTGATGCCAGCAAATTCCACCTTCTGGGTAATATAAGCACATGTGCTGACCTAAGGGAAGAAAGACAAAGAGATTCAACACATCAAGGCCATGAAAAGTCACAAGTGAGATCTCCTGGCTTTATAATCCCTTTTAACAACCCAAAGTTCAATTAACTTGAGAGTAACAGATTTACCCCACAGGAAAACATGCTGAGGCAGGTATAACAGTAGGTCCTTAAAGAGTCTGGCAAGTATAAACAACAGTAAAGACCACATGGGTAATAAATGGCCAGCTTCACAAATATACTTACCTTCACATGTTTGTATCTATATCTATACTTACATACTTATTTAAATGCAGTAGTTTCTCATTTTAGCTCTCATGTTAGCAAATGGAACCCTCCCTCATCAAATAAAAAATAAGCCAATTATTTTACCTGAAAATACACACTGCATGGCATTTCAACCTATAACTTGTCATTTCATAATATGCAAACTACAATTAGGAGAATTTTCAGAACCAGGTCACAATTCTGATGAGCTGATCCTTTGAGTAAAAAATGTCCATTAGGACAGGCCTGGTGGCTCACGCCTGTAATCCTAGCACTCTGGGAGGCCGAGGCGGGCGGATTGCTCGAGGTCAGGAGTTCGAAAACAGCCTGACCAAGAGCGAGACCCTGTCTCTACTATAAATAGAAAGAAATTAATTGGCCAACTAATATATATAGAAAAAATTAGCTGGGCATGGTGGCGCATGCCTGTAGTCCCAGCTACTTGGGAGGCTGAGGCAGAAAGATTGCTTGAGCCCAGGAGTTGGAGGTTGCTGTGAGCTAGGCTGAAGCCACGGCACTCACTCTAGCCTGGGCAACAAAGGAAGACTCTGTCTCAAAAAGAAAAAAAAATGTCCATTAAAAATAAATAAGGAAAATGGGGGAAGTGTACAGCAAAAGGCAGTCTGACCTAGAAGCCACAAGATCTGGGTTCTTGCCAAGTGTCAACTGCTTAATAGTTATCTAGCCTTGAGCAATCACTTAACTTCTCAATCTCAGTTTTCACATCTATAAATTAGGCATAATAAATACTTGTCCATAAGGAGGAGATATGAAGAACAAATGAGATCAAGTGGAAATCTGAAAACTAAAATACCATTCAAATATAAAATATGGTATAATTTCCCATTCAAACTTAAAATGTAAAGTAACAACCTATAACAATAAACAAGGCTCAAAAAAGCTACAAAAAGCCGGGCATGGTGGCTCACTCCTATAATACTAGCACTCTGGGAGGCTGAGGCGGGCGGATTGCTCCAGGTCAGAAGTTCGAAACCAGCCTGAGCAAGAGTGAGACAACGTCTCTACTAAAAATAGAAAGAAATTAATTGGCCAACTAAAAATATATAGAAAAAATTAGCCAGGCATGGTGGCACATGCCTGTAATGCCAGCTACTCAGGAGGCTGAGGCAGGAGAATCACTTGAGCCCAGGAGTTTGAGGTTGCTGTGAGCTAGGCTGACGCCATGGCCCTCTACCCCAGGCAACAGAGTGAGACTCTGTCTCAAAAATAAAAAAACAAACTATGAAGAGAAAAGAGAATAGAAGAATACACAAGATGCTTATAATAATTATCTGTAGATGCTGGAATCAGAAACAGTTTTATACTCTTCTCCCTACTAAGCTCTTCTAAATCTCTATGATAAATAGGGGTTATTCATATAATAGAAAAAGTAACAAACTTTTTTTAAAATCACACCTTACCAAACTTTTCTTTAATCGCCACATATCCCCACGGCCAATATATTGATCCTTAAAAGTTAATTCCACTAGGTCAAGGGTCACATCCTAAAAGGGATAATAAAATAATAACTCTTGTATTACTCTGTCACAATTTATAGTCATAAGATAATGTCCACTTACCACGGAAAAAAACTTTTTTGTAAAAAGAAAACTACTATAAGACCATAATAGCAGAACCCTAATAAACACAATAGCAGAACCCTAATAAACAGAATTTTGTTATATCAAAGAAGGCTTTCCAGTATATGTGGTAAGTCTATAACTAATCCTACAGTATTAGTATTTTATTTAGTACTTTCATAGAAAATTTTAAATATACCTTCATATATAGAATCTAATTAAGGCATGCTTCAAAAAAAGGGGGTGGATAAATGCAACCACATAGTATCTATAACCTAAAAGACATACATACATATATATATATACACACACACACATACACATATATATATAGCCACATATTTAATCATCTAACACTATATTTAAGTAACCCATTATTTCCTTAGTGACTTAACCTTGAGGAAGGATGCTAATCATTCCAAAAGATACTCCAGTCCAGAACAAAGACAAACCTTAGGGTCTACAACATTCACATAGACATCTTGGTAAGGTCTTAGCCGGAACACTTGAGTCACAGTCTGGTCCACACTGATAGTTTCTGAAATAGAGAAGAAATCTGGCTCAGGTAACATTTTGAAAAATGTTAGTATATATATCCTAATCTATAAATACTCAAACTTTCAACAAGCAACACAATTGATCATTTGCCATGGGCAAGACATGTTCTCTGCCCTCCAGGAGTTTAAGCCTAAGCAATTAAGAGAGAGAGAGAGAGAGAGAGAGAGAGAGAAAGAGAGAGAGACAGAAAGAGAGATGGCCAGGTGTAGTGGCTCATGCCTATAATCTTGGCAGAAAAAAAAATAGAAAAATTAGCTGGGCATGTTGGTGCACACCTGTTGTCCCAGCTACTTGGGAGGCTGAGGCAGGAGGATCACTTGAGCCCAGGAGTTTGAGGTTGCAGTGAGCTATGACGATGCCACTGCACTCCAGTCTGGGCAATAGAGCAAGACCATCTCAAAAAAGAAAAAAAATGAGAGTGAGGCCAGGCGCTGTGGCTCACGCCTGTAATCCTAGCTCTTGGGAGGCCGAGGCGGGTGGATTGCTCAAGGTCAGGAGTTCAAAACCAGCCTGAGCAAGAGCAAGACCCCGTCTCTACTATAAATAGAAAGAAATTAATTGGCCAACTGATATATATATAAAAAATTAGCCGGGCATGGTGGCGCATGCCTGTAGTCCCAGCTACTCGGGAGGCTGAGGCAGGAGGATCGCTTGAGCCCAGGAGTTTGAGGTTGCTGTGAGCTAGGCTGACGCCACGGCACTCACTCTAGCCTGGACAACAAAGTGAGACTCTGTCTCAAAAAAAAAAAAAAAAAAATGAGAGTGAGAGGAAAAAGGAGAGAGAGGAGATCCTTTTTTTGTTTAGAATGGTAGTTAAGGAAGAAATAAACTTTTCAATGAGCCCTCAGTCTGGTAAGTAAGAAATGCACAGGTGGCAGGAGATAGGGTGAGGGTATGAAGACCTCTCTTAGGATTAAGATTTTATAGAATGTTTCCCCAACAAACTGAAATATTGAACATGAGTGGTTGACATCAAAGCCCTTTAGAACAACCCAGAAGTTTTTTGTTTTTTCTCTTACTACTTAAGGAATTATCTGTTTAAAGAATTTATTTTGGCTGGGCACAGTGGCTCATGCCTGTAATCCTAGCACTCTGGGAAGCCCAGGCGGGGGATCACTCAAGGTCAGGAGTTCGAAACCAGCCTAAGCAAGAGCGAGACCCCGTCTCTACTAAAAATAGAAACAAATTAATTGGCCAACTAAGATATATAGAAAAAATTAGCCAGGCATGGTGGCACATGCCTGTAGTCCCAGCTACTTGGGAGGCTGAGGCAGAAGGATTGCTTGAGCCTAGGAGTTTGAGGTTGCTGTGAACTAGGCTGACGCTACGGCACTCTAGCTGGGGCAACAGAGTGAGACTCTGTCTTAAAAAAAAAAGAATTTATTTTAAGGAAGAAAATAAATGTAAGGAATTTCTTATTCACTGTCAATTAATATTTTGATTCCTTGAGTAGCACAGCGTAACCATTACAGGAAAAAAGAAAGGATTTGGATCTAGAATGAGTAAGTAGAATCACCACTCTGGCTCCACTTAGATCATAGTGTGGCTAAGACTAAATTTCCTCACTCACTCAAGAGTTGTTGGGAGGATAAAGATAGATTATAAAAAGAGCCCAGGACAGTGCCTGCACACATGGTGTGCAATTATTATATTTCTTCCCCTACCACCCAATCACCCAGAGGAGGCACCTAACAAATAATTTGTGAAAAAAATATACTATTTAGGAAAACATGCTTTACCTACAATTACTACAGTTATGTATAAAGCTTTATATATTCAGATTAACTTTTCTCCTGACTCTAAATAAAGATCATTTCTTCAGTGCCTTCAAGATGCTGACAAATGAGATTCCTTAGCAGTTTTGGTAATCTGACAATTTTTTTTAGAGGGAACACAATTTGATAAGTACTTGCCCTCATCCCTTGAGATTATGAAGAGAGGTTTCTCACTATTTCTGAGATGGTAAATATAATAATCTCAAAGAGAGACGTAATTCTTACCTTTCTGTAAATCTTCCTTAAGTGACTTGACCTGCAAAAGCAGGGGGCTGGAAAAGAAATCAACAAAGAGGTGAGATTCTATAAGCCGTCACCCCCAGTTTTCTTCATCCCCGACAAGAAGCAAACTGATCACTTCAGACATACTGTAACTTGTAGTACAACAATGAGAGAAAACTCTCTCAGAAACAAAGAAATTCTGCACAGGCACTAAAGGAAATGGATAAATGCTACAGAATTTTTCAGAGTTGTCATCTCAGCCTTAAAACAGAAGGAATGGACCGAGGTAAGAAATTTATTGGTTCATCAAATCCTAGAGGACATGAGCATTTTTAAAGACTTTTGCTATCCTGCCTGCCCTTTAAGCCCCTTAGACAAAATATTAATATCATTTATGACCAGTAGGCTGCCCAGTTCCCTTGATCCTAACAAGAGACTCACCTGTATTCATCATTGGGATGAGCAATCTCTACGATGTCTCCAAGCTTGATGTGAGGAAACACTTTGGGGTTCACAACTAGCTCATCATCTGAAAGAAAATTCACAGAACTCAAGAAGAAAACACACTCATTTGGGTGACAGGTATACTGTGTATGTTCTCACAATGGGTTCTCACAACTCCATTGGGTTGGTATTACTACTCCATTTTGAGTTGAGGTTTAGAACAACTAAAGCTTTTTGCACAGGAAGCTAGTGAGTAGCTGAGTGGGACAGTGCTCAGGTATCTTTGTCTCTACAGCCCATGCTCTTTCTAATATCCTACTAATCCCAGGAAAAAATGGGCCTTTGGTCCCTGAATATTAGGCCTCTGGGACATCCCTTTATTCCCTCAAATATCATATATCTGGCATACACCAGGAAAAAAAAGGCTGGCTCCCACAGATATAGCACAATCCCTTATATTATACAATGTTCAAAGAATTTCATAAACACTGCCATAATGTGACCTCATAATAAATCTTTGATTCTAATGGGAGTGAGGAAACAACTTGGGATAGAAAGTGACTCGCCTAAGGTTAGACAGCGAGTAACAGAACTGCCAGGACTGATGACTGGTCCCGGGTTTCTTCCAGTTAAAGCTTACCACCTTCTCACATGTCATAAAAATCATGCCAGATAAAATGGCCTCGACTTTGGAGGGCAGCACCTGATCAAGGAAAAACTTCAGGTATCAGTTTACATTAGAGTCCACAGAGACCCTTAACATTTAGGAAGGACAGGGTTTCACATGCTTATCTACCCCGACCCTCCTATTGGAGTGGAAAGAACGGTTTCAAATAATACAAATGCAGAATAATAAAGAAAGAATGATTGTTTTGCTGTTTTAATTTGGGGAGAAGGACATCATCTTTAATTATGCTAACACCATGAGAAATATATCCAGATTTCATATATAATCAGACCCAAGAAAAATTCAGGCTAGTAAAATGAAGCATTGGATTAATCTCAATTGTATTTGGTATGTTTCCATTGACAGTTTTATGCTAAATCCTCTGTGAAACATCCCCCTAACGTCCATAGTCTGAATTAAGCCTCCTTCTGCTTGGACTTATCATTTCCTTTTTGCAAGTCTATCTCATCAAGCTGAAAGCTCCTTAATGACAAGGGACCTTGTCACATTCATAAACTTTATGTTTAACACAGGCATACACCTAATAAATATTTTTTGGTTGTATTTTTATTTATGGTTCTGTAGAAAACTAGAAACAGCACCTAGCTACCTTTGTCTTACAGCAGAAAATATAGACTTATATACATTGTATACACTGTATATAATGTATCCTTCAATTCTTCCCTCTGCCAAAAGTTACTTCTGTTGCCTATTTATTCAGCTCTACTCTACAAATATTAATATTGAGGCAACACCACTAGCACACAAAGTATAGTGTTAACAATAGACTAGCAGAAATTGTATTTTAAGTATAGCAATACTTGGCATATCCTTCTTTTAGTAATTATAATGGCTACATTTATTGAGCAGAGCCTGTTACTCTGCTAAATGCTTGACAAAGATCATCATACTTAAACATCACAATACCCTATGATAAAGAAAATTTTGTTTTTCCTTTTTGGCAGTCCTTGTCCTCTGGAGGCTTATGCATACATAGCATAGAAGCAAATGCATCCTAAAATACAAATTTTAAAAAAAGGACTCATTGTATTAATTATAACTTTTGAAGTAAATGAAGTTGTTAACACAGAAGGTAAAAGTATTCCTTTACAAAAGAAAAAAAATCATACTGCTAACTGCCCTCTTATTCTACAGATTTATGGACTCAAGGGGCAAAGAGGAACTATTCTAAAGCCCTCAAACTTGCAGATAAGGTAAACTAGGGGCTTGCCTGAGGTCACAGGGGAAGTTAGAGGCAGAGCTGGTACTGAGATTCTGGTTTAGTGCAGCATAACATGCATCCGGTCCCTTCTTCCAATGTCTAGGAGCCAGGCAAAGGTTCATACTCTGATCATACCTGTTCTATGCACATCTATGCTACTTCTCTCTCACTGAATGCAAAACAAATACCATTTTAGTTCTCTTATCTGCCAAACCAGTACAGGCTGGAATTTTATGAAACATACACAGTAAGCTTGTAATAAACAACATAATTAAACAAATAAAGGGTGGTAAACCTGCAACATTCACAGTGTTCCTTAAAAGTGTGAATGCAAATGTTTTAGAACATTGTTGCTGTATTATAGTTGCTGCTTAACTCTGTTAAGTTGCCTGTCTAGCATCCATTGTCAGGAGTTGGGGTGTAATTTTCAAAGCACTGGACACACCAGAACCTCAGCCAATTTACACAACTCCCAAAGATCAATCAATACTGACCACTGCCCCCAAAGCCCTTCTTGTGGATGACGAGTTTGTAGACCTTTGTTGTTCTCATCTTGCACCGTTGTTTCACTTCAGCTGTTCCAAGCTTGGGGCAGAGAAGTCATCTTGCCTCCCTACCATTGAAACAAACAACAAGGTTGAACGGCAGACTTTTCCTTGCAATTGTTCTTTGATTTTAGGCCAATGAAGATACTGGTGTTGCTCTGCTGACATGTGGTGCCAAGTGACTCTTGGATGAAGTCACTCCTCCAATTACAAGGAAGGATGGAGAACAAACAGAACCACGGAATCAGGGAACTAAGGGGTATTCGGGCCAGGGTCTAGTCAAACCTCAGAACAGATTTTCTCTCTCTCTGCAATTCACTTGCAGGGAATGGGCACTCATTACCTTGTCTATACCTACATCAATCACACTCAAATATTAAAGAGATCTTAAAAGAGGTTAGCCCACTCATTTTGTAGATGAGGAAAGTGAGAGCCAGAGCAAGGGACTTGCACAAGGTCACTCACAGACACTCCTACCGTCCGTGTTTCGCCGCCAACGTCCTGGGCAAGGCGACTACAAAGAGGAGGACGATACCGGTCCTTCCCCGAACCTCCATCTGTACCAACTCTCAGCGGATCTTCCCGCCTCCATTTCACAGCGGAAGCCGCAGCCTCAGAGAGGGAGAGAGACTAGTCCAAGGTCACACAGCGGCTCGAGGCACAGCCGGCACTCGAACCTCAACCACAGTCCCCCTAGCTCCAGCCCCTCAAGGCGCCAGTCCGGGGCGGACAAGCCCCACTCACCTGCAGCTCCGGAGCCCCTTCCCGCCTCAAGCCGGGGGCCCCTGGGACCGGACCCTCCTCAGGTCCCTCAGGTCTCCTCTGGACACCCCGCCTAAGCCTCCACGGCCCGCGCAGCCTCAGTCCCTCAGCTTGCGGCGCCGGCAGGCCCGCCCGGGCCACGGAGCGCTCACCTGAGAACCCGCGCCGCTCGGTGGCTCCGCCCCGGGGCCCCGCCCCCTTCCCGCCCCCGCGCCCCGGGCCTCTCTCGCTGGGCCTCCGCCGTCTCGGTGGCCGCGCCACTTCCTCATCCGGGGCTCGCGCCGGGGGCGGGGCAGGGCGTCCCGGGAGGCCTCCAGCTCAGGCCGCTTCCAGGCGTTTCCCGCTCGCGGGCCTGCTTGGTCGCCGACTTCACAGAGGAAATCTATCCCCTGTCAGACAACCGGAAATAGGTCCCACTGAGCTCCGTTTTTTTGTGTATAAATGAGGTTAATGACTCTCACTTGCCCTCACAGGGCTGCTGAGAGGCGCAAAGGAGGGTTTCTGGGCGAACTTTTGTGAAATGCAAAGGGTTGGGGACAGGACCGTGTGATGGCCCAATTGGGAAGTGTCCACTTTGGGGCTTTTCAAACCCTTCCAAACTCCAAAAGATGGTCTGCACCCCTAAGGTTGTTAATAACCATAGCTGCCATGGCTTCACAGACATCGTTGTGTAATCGGTGCATTCCTATCAGGTCGTAGGTAGAGCCTCTTTCCTAGGAAACAGCCCGAGGAAACGACCCACTCTAACCGGTATCCTCGTGTCACACCAGGGCTCAGCCTAAGCTCCCATCTGTCTGGATAGCTTTCTCAGGAGAAAACCAAGCTGGGTGGGCTGTGCCAGATGCTGGCCAAAGGCCCCAGACAAGTTGCCAGCTCCACCTGCTGCCACACCCTGGTCGAGGCCAGCGGATCTTTTGTGGTTTTTTTTGTTTTGTTTTGTTGAGACAAGAGTCTCGCTTTGTTGCCGAGTGAGTGCTGCAGCGTGGGCCTAGCTCACAGCAACCTCCAACTCCTGGGCTCAAACGATCCTGCTCCTCAGCCTCCCGAGTAGCTGGGACTACAGGCATGCGCCACCATGCCAGGCTAACTTTTCCATTTTTAGGAGAGACGGGGTCTCACTTTTGCTCAGGCTGGTCTTGAACTCCTGAGCTCAAGCAATCCTCCGCCTCAGCCTCCCAGAGTGCTAGGATTACCACCGTGCCCAGCCTGATGGCTGTGCCTCTAGGAGCCTCCCTGCTTCCTCTCTGGCAGTCGGAGAGGTCTTTTTATAACTGGAATTAGTGTTTTGGGTCAAGCCACTCCCTTGCTGTTTCTAATAGATAATCAAATGGATTGCAACAGTTACAAAATTTTTCCAAGATAAAATGTTACATGTAAAAGAGACGTTTATGTTGCCACTTCAGAAGACACATCCAGATCCCCTGCTGGTTTTTGTCTTTTATCAGCTGAGATTGGTGAGAAGTCCTTCCATTCCAGAGGGAGCTTCTGGGCCCTCAGGGGAATCTGATTACTCCTGAGAGAGGTCCATAATTGGTACCTTATTTTAGAAATGCAAATATTTCACTTGCTAATTTGGCAATTCTCATTAAAAAACAAACAAACAAAAAAACCCTTCAAAGCTTTGAAAATTTTTGTTTGTTTTTTCTTTTAAAGCTGGTTAAAGTTAAGGGGCCAAAGTTGACAGTGCTCAGATTGGGGCTTCAATAGTGTTTGTTCTACAATTGCTGTGCTACAACCACCTGCCCATTGCCTGTTTTTAGCTGCGTGGCCTACCACAAGATACTCTTCTGTTCTCAAATTTCTCCCCTGGCGAATAGAAATTAAAAGTACATGTTGGCCAGGCCTGTAATCCTAGCATTCTGGGAGGCCGAGGCAGGAGTATCGCTCAAGGTCAGGAGTTTAAAACCAGCCTGAGCAAGCACAAGACCCTGTCTCTACTAAAAATAGAAATTAACTGGCCAACTAAAAATATATATAGAAAAAATTACCCAGGCATGGTGGGACATACCTGTAGTCCCAGCTACTCGGGAGGCTGAGGAGTAGGATTGCTTAGGGTTTGAGGTTGCTGTGAGGTAGGCTGACACCACGGCACTCTAGCCTGGGCAACACAGTGAGACTCTGTCTCAAAAAAAAAAAAAAGTACATGTCCTTCCTCCTTCACAAGGTGTTTGAGGGCCAAACAAGGTGAGGGATATATTACATTAAGTCTTTGACATTAAAAGAGCTAAAAGTGCTACATAAATGTGCATAATGTACATAAATATAATTAACCAAAAGCATAAAACTCATGGGGAAATTGGCTTTCCTCGGATTTGTAGGGCATTAAACGATATATAAGATGCTTCTTTTGGATGTTGTTATGCATGGTGCTTCCTATAAATAGAAGCAGAGTTGAGACTAGGAGGAGGCAGTAAGCCTAGAGAGATACTGGCCTTAGGATACAAAATGGTAAGGAAATGCCAAAAATACTCAATAAGCAAGATAAATGATATTGTAATATATTTTTTAAAAATCAAAATACAAAGATCTGGGGGGTGTGTGGTGGCTCATGCCTATAATCCCAACACTTTAGGAGGCTGAGGCAGGAGGATTACTTGAGACCAGGAGTTTGAGACCAGCCAGGGCAACATAGCAAGACCCTGTCTCTACAAATAATAATAATAATTTAAAAAAGAATTTATGATCAACAAAATATCACATTTTTAAAGACAAAATCAATATGGTGTTGTGCAGAGCCACATTGGAACCTGGGGCAAAAGAAAACATTAGTAATACTGGGCATCTACAGGCATATAGTTGCCTGAGAAAGTACTTGAAGACGTAGATACTCTAACTTTAGAAATGTTCTAAAGTAAATTTCTAGTTAATTTATCCAAGCAGTATCTGTGTATATTAGAAAAACAGTAGCCGATACATGAACTATACATATATATGGACTCATATAGGCTGTAGACAATAAGGTTAGAACATGTGGGTTTGTGTATCTCCAGCTCTAACTAAACTGGGAAAACCACTACCTCAGCCAAAATGCATGTTCACTGGTTCAAAGATACCTTGATGAGAGGAAAGAGAATTAAAATCTCCCCCTAAACCTCCAAACTTTTAGTTCTCTAGTCTGCCAGGTGGATAAGCTCCAAGAAGCAACAGATTTCTATTTTTAACAAAAAGCTGTGTAATTTGGGGCAAGTTGATTTCATTCTCTGAACCCTCTCATTTCCCTCCTGGGTAAACATTGTTTTCCTTCCTACAACCACGTCTGTTGAGCATCTACTTTTGTGCCTGACACTGTTTTAGGTGCTGAGCACAGAGCGATGAACAAAACAAAGTGAAAGAAGACGGATGATATACGAGTCAATAAAGAGATGAAAATGAAACACGATAACTTCAGCTAGTGTTAAAGCTATGAAGAAATTAAAACAAGGTGCTGTAACCGACTGGAGGCAGGATGCTATTTAGATATAGTGGTCAGTGTGATTAGAAGAACCTGGGGAGTGGCTTGACCCAAAACATCACTGATTCCAGTTATAAAAAGATATCTCAGGCTGCCAGGATGGAAGCGGAGGGGGGGTGCCTAGAGGTGCAGCTGTCCAGGATCGAAAAATGGTGGCCTGGCCCAGGGTGGTAGCAGTGGACACCTGCAGAGTGCCCTGGGGCTCCCAGCAGCAGAGCTGAAAAAGGTGTGTTTCCCTTTAAGAGTCTGAGCCGCAGGGGCGGGGTTGAGGGCCACTGGGCGAGCAGAGGGGGGGAGGTCCGACGCGGGAAGAGCCGCCCCCTGGAGTGCGCGCGCGCCATGCGGGGGCGGGACTTGGGAGAGCCCGCATGGCTGGTTCGGGCCCCGGATGAGGAAGTGCAGGGGGACCATAGAGACGAAGAGGCGGCGACGGCCGGAGCGCCCCTGGGCTCTCTCAGCTCCGTAGGCTCAGGTAGACTTGGTGGCGACGGGGCTGCGGCTGCAGAGGCTGAGCTGGAGGGGCAAGCGCGGGCCGTGGAGCAGGCCTCAGGGTAAGAGGCCGGGGGCGGGAAGGCCTCGGGCGTAGCCGCCCCGCCCCACTCCGCCCTGAGAGAACCGTCCGCCGGGCGGTACTGGCTAAAGGGGAGCCCGGGCCCCCCGCCCTCTCCGGGCGCCAGAAGGAACGGAGGCTGCGCTGCGGGCGGCAGCAAGACCCGGGGAGAGGGAGGAGACCAGGCCCCGCGTCGCTAGAGGAAAACGGCTCCTCCGAGTCATGGCTCCGAAGGGAAAATGCACTCCTCTTCAACCTCGATAAGACAGGGAGCCCCTCAACTTCTCTCCTAGGGGAGGACGACGCCCCTTGTCGTGGGCGTACGCGCTTGCTCTGCTCTCGTCAGTTTGTCAGCAGAGGGAGACCCTCTCCCAGAGTGCTAGAGAGGGATTCTGAACTTTATCCTAAAGAGGGATAAGAGATAACCCCTAAATGAGACCTTTCTCCCTACTTTAGTCAGCGACCCCAGGTGAAGAGTGAGACTCTCAACTTGCCTAAAAGTGACAGAGGGAATCTTTCTTCCTTGTAGGAGAGAAACTCCTCTTCTTTATTTTTCACCTTTACCCCAAGATGTAATGAGGAAGACCTTGAATCTACTTTGTGATATTAGAAGTCAACCTTTCTCCCCCTCCCCCATCATGTCTACAGAGGGAACCTCGCTTCTTCCATTTAAGTCTCCTGGTGTGCAATGAGCTCCTTTTCCTTGCACAATTACACGCGTGGCTTTTGGAGTGTGATAGTTGCAAGCTTGTGTCTCCCACTTAACATCTTTGTGACCTTGACTAATTGCTTAACGTCGCTCAGTCTCAGTTCATCTCTAATTTGGGCACTTTTCTTAGAATTGTCATGAGGGCTAAGGGAACGTTTGTGTAAATGCTTAGTACATAGTAAGCTTTTGGTAAGTTCTTGCTATTACTATTACTTAATTTGTTAAGGAAAACTAATATCTTGCACAGAGAAGTAGATTTTTCCGTGTGTGCCTCTCCCATTCTCATCACTAGTGTTCAACCCATCTTTTCCCACATGAGAGGAAGGACCCCACCCCAGGTGTAGAAAGAGACATTTCCACTCCCCTTAGATCTTACCATACTATACTTCCCAAATTAACAAAGAGGGCCTTACTGAAAATAATCCAGAAAAAACGG